TGATAGAATAATAATGATTCCAAAGCTGCTTGAAGGCTTAATCGTACGTGAAGTAGATATGGGCCAGTTCGAGCATTTTGATTGTATTTTCTCTCTTCAGCTACTAATAAAAAAATTAGGTAGAGGCCATACGGGCAAAAAAATTCACAGAAAAAGAATAGTATAGGGCTTTTACAAAGTTTTAGGACTAAATACATAAAATATCAAGATGAAGGAAACTTTTCCACTGTTTTCCATTTTATTTACTTTCCTTCTAATGCTACAAATGTTTTGACTTTTTAACAGAGCTTCAGAACAGTATTATTGGAATAGCCTTTAGTGCTCCCTTACTGTTTTTCATATATAATTATTTTAAGTAGATATAACGTTTAGTGCATTTATACAGCTGGAGGGGGGAGGTTTGTTCCTTCGTAGAATTCATGGTTTGGAATATTATTTAGGTTTCTGTTCTGGTTACGATTCTCTTGAATCTCTTCAGTGCCATTAAAATAATGATCTTTGAAATGAGAAATCATTTTAGCGAAAAGAAAGCAGCTCGCAGGAACCAAATCTGGTGAATATAAAGGTGACTGGTAATTGTGATATTTTGATTTGTTAACACCTGTTTGATGAAAGTGGAACTTTGTCATGGCTCATTACTATGTAGCAGAAACTACTTATTCCATTGAGCTTTTACCCGCCTTAAGCGTTGAATTCTGTTTAGAAGTCTGTCTTTATTGATATTAACCTCATCAGATATCATTCGAAGGGACAGGCAAAGACTTTTCAGCCATAATTGTTGAACATTTTCGATGTCCTCCTTCGTTCGGTACTGTGAATGGCAATCAGTCTTGGGTTCATCATCAACATTTCCGCATTCATCATAAAGCCATCCAAGCTTAAAGAAATGAACTAGAAAAAATGAACTAATGAACTAATGAAAAATATTTTATTGTATTAATGCATGATCCGCATGCTTTACACATTTCAGTCTCCGTTACTGCTTTTTCCGTTTTACAGTAAAAGTTCGTTGCTATTCTTTGTTCAGATTTCTAATCCATGGCAACACAGATTTTGACTGAAACAAAGCAACCGATTAACTTCGTTGAAAATTCTGTCGATAATCATAAGATATTTCAGTAAATTGATATGAAACAAGCAGCTATCTATTTAATAAATTGGCATATCATAATGATAAATACTACCAATTATTCTTTCACAAATTTGGTAGAAACTTTTAAAAAATTAGCCCTAAAACCTTGTAGATGCACTGTATAAGAAACCGTTCTAAAGATGGCGCCTTTTAAGGTAAAATTTAGGGAAAAAATAACAGATCTAGACATTAAAATAGAAAAGTTAAAAGAATAATCACACTTTCGTATGCAATAAACGGAATGAGGATATTAAATTGAGAGAAAAATATTGTTGCGTTTTTGTACAGGTTCTTGGATTTGGAGTGATTAACGACAACACTTGCTGAAGAATGAAAACACAATTTATTAGGCAGCATTACTCAAGACAGCTCCAAAAGCACGTTTACAGTCGTCGAAAAACTACGTCAAACAGGCTGAAACAATCAGCAACAAAGCATTCAAGCTATCGGGCTGTTCGGTTCGGTCTTTCTCGGACCTAAATGTACTCTCGAGACTCTCCCACGGTACAACTCGCGATGCACTCGACGATAACCTCAGCGATGCACACTCTCGATGCTCCAACTCGACAGTAGAACTGACGATAAAACTCGATAGACTACGAGAAACTCAACAGACTCGCGATCGACTGCTACTCCGCGTACAAGCAGGATTTATATAGCTTTTGGACTGCTTTTGAGACATTCTGGGTCAAACCGGTAAGAATTCGTTCTAAAATGTTCTCTATCCGTCTATGGCATATCGCCGATTTTGTCTCCAAATGAGCGACTTCACGCCAAATCTGGCCACCCTGCCTTTCCGTGCCATTTTCTGGCAACCCTAAACCCGCCTTGCGGAGAAGCTATCTTACCGCTGCTGGGCATTTTGTAACAATATTAATTTCAAATTTTTCAGTTTTGAATGGACAATAGCTACCTTAGGCGTAAAAATTTTAAAATACATAATAAAAAACTCACAAAGTTTGCCTTTAAACGTCTTTCTGGTAACACACACTGAAAGCAGTCTGTGATGTGTTTAATAATCGCCACTTTTTTTCGCTTTTTCTTTTAGAATTTTCGCTGCGATTCGCTAAAAACTCTTAGTCCTACAACGTTTTAGAAATTTTACATATGGCAAACTTCACCCTTGTTACTTCATGTAACTTGTCTTTTTAATCATACGGTCTTATGTATGCTTATAAAATTATTGAAACGTGGTAAATATAAATAGTGAAAAAATCATCTCTTGTTTTGATTGTCTCATCAAAATGCAGCATATCAAATTCACAAGTCATAAAACGATCGTGGCATTATTCATCAACAACTATAAATTGAAAATATATTTTAATAATACTAGATATTTCTTATTACCGAAAGCAAATAAAAGTAAACGAATGTGCCAAAATGTTGAAAACACTGAAGTTAAAAAATAGTTTCGCGTGCAGATCTCGAGGAAATTCAACTATCGACTTCTCGATTTAATCTTGCCCTGGCAATAGCAGTAGCCAGTGAGTCGGGAAAGCAGATCGTGGAATCGAAAACATCTGCTGGGTAGCCATTCAAATCCAGCTGCTGCCACCGAAGGCGCATGATTCCTGCGGCAGTGATTTTCGGTGAAGCATAAAGTTTTACTAATGATCTCGCTCTTTAAAATTGGAGTCACCCTTAAGAAAAACAATAAAATACGAACGCAACCTCTATTTGCGAGTATAATGAGCTTCCTTTCGTGAAATTAGTTGTTGCAGAGACTTTTAAGAATTGCTCCGAGAAAAAAACTAGCACTGCCTACAAAGGAATAAACAAATAATAATTGAAGCCGTTAAACATACCTCTCTTGTCAATTCGAAAAACACTGAAATTAATTTTTGTTTATGTAGCATTTAGATTAATTAAATGTTAAAGCGCTACTGTTAAACAGAAGGCCCAAACTAATGATAGAAATAAATGTTTGATGAGAAGTGAGAATGGAGCAAATGGATATAAGCAGAGTTTGATGACTTCAACTTTGAAGACAAGCACTCACGTCACAAAGCGGTTAATGCAGGATCATAAAACGATAAACAATGCTATTTAGACTATTTACAATGAGATTCTATGCGTCAGACATGTAATGAGATGTAAGCAAACAGTGCAAGCGAAGTAGAGATGTAAGGAAAAACTTTGTTAGTTCTAAATCGAAACATTTAAATGGGACTTTATTAAATAGCGAAACACACGTTATATTATTAAACCGACATTTTGAGATATCAGAATTTAAGATTATCTTGCCTTCTATGGAAGCCGAATATCCCAAGGAAAGAGCTTCTGCGTGATCCAGTTCGTGGCCTACAAACTGATAAAATTACGAAACAATACAGTATTATGCAAACGTCTTTATTTCGACGCTAAACAAATTGTATACTTAAAGCTCTTTTCCGCCTTAAAATATCCAGTTCCTTGAAGACTTAATAAAAAGCGTGTTGCATACTTGGTGGTGTCTGCGTAAATGGATCAGAGAGAAGAGAATCTAATTTAGAGCTACACAAGATCTATAGACAATCTGATGGAGTAAAATTCTTCAAACTACAGAACCTTCAATGGACTGACAATCTGGCCAGAATGCATGAAGATCGGTGTTGTAAGAAAATCTTTCTTGCAAAGGCCATGGGAATTAGGCCTCGGGGTAGAATTTCACTGAGATGGATCGACTGTGTTCAAAATGAGCTAAACATTCTAAAGGTTAAAAATTGAGAAACAGCTGTCATAAGTACAGATTCCTGGAGGAGGTTAGGACACACTCTGGGCTGTCGAATCAATAAAAAAAGATGAAGATGAGTAAAAAGTGTAGTTTTTAGAATTATTTGGTTTGGGTTACACTTGCCTGTTTTAAACTACTGTTATTTATGATCGTCCTTGTTCTAATCAAGAATAGATATAATTCCTTTTTGCTATTGTTATGAATCTAAAGCAAGCCGAAATCGTAACAATCTCATTAAATAATAAAATATGGCTTCGATTAGCAATTAGTGTTAATTAATATTAAATTATAGTTAAGAAACTAAAACAAATATTCTATATCTCTTATCTAGGTGATGTTTGCCTATCAAAGACTAGTCGCAGTTTTGTTAAAATTATTCAAAGTTTAAAGAATATAATAAATAAAACTATATTATTTAAACTTCTTTATACTTAAACAATTCTTTATAATATTGATGTAATAAAAATGATCCGGTACTTAGATACTTTTTAAAATAGTTGGGTACTTTTAAAATAGTTGAAAAAATGGAAGAAGCAATGAAAAGTTCGGAATGAACACTCATCCTTTTATTTGCATCATTCAGCATACTTACAGATTTCGCTACTGGTACAGGCTGAAGCAAGGCTAGCAATTGTGCGTCTTCGAAGGTGTATTAGATACATATCGCCGGGCCTTGCTAAATGCCAAATTCTGCTCTTATTTTGATGGAGAACAACCCAGAGAGCGTTTCGAAGGTCTTCCAGACCTCTTCCTCTAATACCAATCACTACAGAGGCCTTTCGTTTCTCTGAGTGTTTTGAGTATTTTCTTGCCGAACAGAAGACATGCCAGTACACGAGCCCGAGTCCGGTCGTACGGCAGTCAGCGTCACTAAAAACTATACCGGCTGGACGACACTGATTTTGCTACAAGGGAACAAATAAGATTTTTTCCAACCAAATCCAGGCACAATGTGTCATGTCCCATGGAAAGTCAAGAAATTAGGCAAGAGATATACGTCCCATAATGACATGACATCCAAAATATAACAATTAAATATAATTATTTACCAAATTTTTAAGCATATACGATTTACGAATTTTTTAAGTATATAGGATGTTTGCTTTTAACTTAATGTTTTATATCACAAGTTAAAAAAAGGTAACGAGAACTTACTGCCAACTACAAGGTCTAAAACCCTGGCTATACTTCGGACAGTCCCGTCTGCCCCTAACTCTCGACACTCCCATCTACCAGCATCCGATCTTCGAGCATCCCCGATGGTCAAGGCTGCCGTTCCATCGGGAGAAATGTTCCAGTGGCGTCGTTTGGAAGAACTCAGGTCCAAAACGATAGGGGCTCCGTTCTGAAGCCACTGTACGGAGCCACCTGGAGTCGACAGAGGGCATGGAATGCTGACACTTTCCCCCACCCGGACGGTCTTTTCAAGGGTGGGGGGTTCCGGTGCTATCGTCGAGCGGAAAAGGCAACCTAGAAAGGAAAAACAAAATTTTAAGAACTTGTCCATCTGAAGTGTTTATTATTTTATTAAATAACACTTATGAAAAAGAATAGCATGTATGACAACGGACAAAAACTTCCAATGAATTAAGTGCAGCATTTTAAAAGTTAACGCCATCTTTCAGTAGACATAGAGGGAACATAGCATGTTTTTTTAATCACGATTATTATTTAGATACATTTAGGCTAGGGATATTGCCACTTCAAGAACAATTGTCTGAAACTAACAAAATTCTTATCAAACTTTTAAAAGTGGAATTAAAAACATAAGGCACAGCAAACACAGAAAAATTATCCTAAAAACAAAAACATTAAAAAGGTATGATATCATAGAACGAGATTACAAGGGTTTTACTCTAGCTTTACCATGGCTGTCTTAACAGATTCTCATCGATGTTTCTCATGATGAGACTTTCCTAAATTTTGTAGCCATAACAATCATATAGCAGTTTTTTCTCTTGCTTGATGAGACTGTTTAACAAAACATTGCCGATGCGTATTTTTCTTTATGCCATTGCCTCATGTTCCTATGGAGTTAAACCCTTAAAAATAAGTTTGATACCATTTTTTAATAAATTGTGCGTGTTCATGTTGAAGATGTACGATTATAAGCTTCAACTTTTTTATGTATTTAAGGATCCTTCATAAAACAATTGTTTAAAAGGTTATATTTACTACCTTTAAAAGCATGGCATATACTAAATTCATTCGTATGGTCCATATATTTTTTTCTGTGATACTGCCAATTAATGAATAGCACATGCTTATAAATTTTTTGATATTTATAATACAATACCTTAAACCATAGTAAAAGAAAATGCAGCAAAGAGTCTTTAATGCATCGATGTAACAGGAAATACATAAACGAATAAACGTAGAAGAAAAATAAATCACGTTGAATTAGGGTTACAAAAATGGAAATCTTTACAGGAAACTGTAGTAAACTAAAATGCACATTGGTTTCATAAGGTATTTCTCCCGCCTTCTTGGCATGCTTACATAGTATGTACAGTTTATTTCACCATTTTAAACATATTATTCGTTACTATCTTTGATAAGCGTCACTAAGTTTTTCAAACGCGTATATTCAAATATCTATCTTATTTACGCCTGTGATGCAAAGCAGAAAGCGAACAGAACTAATCGTAATTGAACGAGATTAGAAATGGCAGGTTAGCCAAAAAGAAAGAAAAACGAAAGACCGCAGCAGCACAAATCCTCCTCAGGCTTATTCGCTCAACTAACTTTTCATAGTTTCTGATCTAAGATGCTCATATAATACACTATTCATTGAAAGACAGAAACCTAATATGTATTAGGGATGAAAATTGTTAGTCGCTGTTAAGGAAGCAGAATGAATTTGAATGCTAAGTGGTTGATTCGTTTTCTAAATTTTATTTTGTGAATAGCTGTGTGTTCTAAATTTTATCGGCCATTTTTATCTTGATATCCACTTAGCATTCAAATACATCTGACTTTTTATTGCAGGTAAAAATCGTTAAGTGACATGACAAAGAATTGTCACAAAAATAAAAATAATTGCTTAATAATAATAAAAATAATAATGCTTCATAATGAGTTGATTAATGATGTCGAAAAGCAATAGTAGTGGGATTTCTTTGTTAATTACTGATAGCAGAGTTTTGTAAATTTTTCAATCTCAGTTCTACTTCGGTTTAAATTTATAGGATTGTAGGGTTTATATTTATTTTAACTAACATTTATTTTAAGTTTAAGCTATCTTTCCTGTCAAGCCTTTACTTTCCCCTGGAATTGCCAATGCCAGAGTATGTAAATCGTAGTAGAATGCGCAGAGTATTCAAATTTTTGCAGAAGTAATTTGAGTTAAATAGAAGGGAAACGAGATTTGTAAGTGTGCTTCTTGAATCACCAGCGTGAAGGTTGCTTGGTAGAAAGTTTAAGAACAGCGCGTTTCGGCCTGTGCGCCTATTTCGACAGTTTGTAGGGTTTATATTTATTTTAACTAACATTTATTTTAAGTTTAAACTATCTTTCCTGTCAAGCCTTACTTTCCCCTGGAATTGCCAATGCCAGAGTATGTAAATTTTAGTAGAACGCGCAAAGTATTCAAAATAGTCAGCGGAAGTATTCTGAGTTAAATAGAAAGGGAAACGAGTTCGAAGTGTGCTTTCTTGCTTCACGAGCGTGGAGGTGGCTAGGTAGAAATTGAAGAACCGCGCGTTTCGGCCTGTGTGCTTGCCTCGGCAGATAGTTAAATCTTTCAACGTAATATTCAGAAGTTTGCTGAATTATCAGCGGTATCTTAGAACGCGGTTAGGTTAGTTACGTTTAGAGAGCCTCGTAGGTAGTCACTTGTTATTATTCATTTTTAGTTTCATATTTTTTTTTTTACCGCCGGGTCGGCGTAGTTTGTGAGCGTCAAGAGCACGCATCTTGTAATTTCTAAAGTTGAATAAAAAGGGATTTAAACCCTTCTCAAGACTTTGTGTACTTTCCAGTTCATAGCAGTCACCACTATTGTTGCGTGCAGGTTGGGGCGCGCAACATTACATTGGCGCCCGAACACTTGTCGAACTGAAATGGCCGAAAACTGGATGGAAGCTGCTGGACAACAACAAGAAATGGCAAGCCAATTGGAAGGATTTGGATACCTGGTCCAGACGATGAGAGCATCAATCAAGCCAAACGTCAATTTCGACGGAAAAAATTCGGTGGCGATATTTCTAGAAGGCCTCGAAAATCACTTCCAGCTCTACCCTGTGCCTGAAAGACAAAAAGTTGCCATCGCCACATCTGCACTAAGAGGACAGGCCTCGCTATGGTGGAAGAATATAGGCAAATTTTTATTAGGGGAATTCGGAGGCCAGACATATACATTTGAAAATTTCAAAAAATCGTTATTAAAGGCCTTCCCCATAGTGAAAGACCGAGCAAGGCTAGAAGCCGAACTATATAGTTTTTATCAACGGAATATAGAAGAGTTGACGGACTTTATTCTGCGAAAAATTAAGCTGACGGATATGCTGTATGGGAAGAAACCCGACGCGGAGATTATTGAAATAATCTTACCAAGATTGCTACCTGCTGTTCAAGATTACTTCGAAATTAGAAACCCAAGCACATTGCAGGAACTCTTCGAATTGGCGGTCAAGTTCCAAAATCGCAGAATAGCGGAAAAAGCTAGAGGGGCATCGTATTCTCAAAGTATCCGAAGGCAATCTTCAAATGAGCAGACCAGAAATGCAAATCGCTCTTATGGGGGAAAGAGCTATCAAGCTAACTCATCGAAGCTCGAAGGTCAAGGCCCAAAAAGGAAATTTTAAAAAAAACCGTCCGCGTACCCAGAAGGCAGAAGTTGAAAGGAAAGCTTTAAACGAGTAGAGGGGCCTGTAAAAGCGAGGGTCCAGACCCCGGAAGTTTCGAAAAAACCCTCAAGAAGATACTTAAATACGGTCATCGTAAAAAACTCACAATTACCAATTATACAAGTCCTGGTTGGCGATGTACCAGTAGAAGCCCTCATCGATACAGGAGCAGAAGGTAATTTTATGAGTGATATTTTTTTTAAGAAGAATTTTAATAGGTTACGATTATTTAAAAATAAAAACACAGAAATCATAGCAGCGCAAGGACAAACTTGTCAATGTATTGGAAAATTATCTTTAAAAATACAGGTTCAAAACGAAAGCCTTAAAGTATTAATTTTTGTAGTAAAAAACTTACAAAGTCCACTTATTTTAGGTATGGAGTTTTTAAAAGCCGCGAAGGCCAAACTGAATTTTCAGGAAAGTTCTATTGTGCTGGGGAACCAGTGGAACAACCGCAAGTCGACCTTAGCCATTTAAATGACCATGAAAGCCAAGCCATCCAGCAAGTGGTGAGTACTTTTTCAAACTTGTTTTCAGAACGGCCTGGTAGTTGTCAAATTATTACGCATGATATTCAGTTAATTGAATATCATTCAATTCAGTTAATTGAATATCCCTGTAGGACTAAACCTTACCGCTATGATAAACAGAAAGAGCAAATCATAGAAGAACACATTCAGGAAATGTTAAAGAACCAAGTAATAACGCCCATAAATAGTGAGTACGCTAGTCCAGTCGTACTATGTAGGAAAAAGAACAAGTTTCCTCCTTCGGATAAAAGGGCTTGGAGGTTTGCTATCGATTACAGAAAACTTAATAGTGTTACTAAATTCCCAGTTTACCCTTTGCCGAAAGAGAAAAATTATTAGAACTAGAACAGAGGAAATAGAGGAAATTATTAGAAAGATTAAATCTACAAGATACATGACTACGTTGGACTTAACGTCTGGCTACTATCAAATAGGTATGAGACCCGAAGACATACATAAAACCGCGTTTATAACAAAATCGGGCACTTATGCATTTTTACGCATGCCCTTTGGGTTGTGTGGGGCCCCGTCAACATTCCAGAGAGCTATGGACATTGTTCTAAAGCCTGTCCTAGGAAAATCGACTTTAATCTATCTAGATGATATAATTATAACGAGTAGTACGTTGGAACAACATATTAAAGACTAGAAGAAGTTTTTAAATTATTAAAAAGAGGCCGGTCTTACAATTAACGCCTCAAAATGCAAGTTCGCAACTAAAGAACTTAAATATCTGGGTTATAAAATTTCGCAAAAGGGTATAGAAACTCAAGATTCAAAAATAAAAGCCATCAAGAATTTCCCACCTCCCAACACCGCCAAGAAACTTTCTTCTTTCCTTGGGTTATGTTCTTATTATCGGTCATTCATAAAAGATTTTGCTAATATTGTTGAACCCTTGTTAGTAATTAAAAGAAAGAAAAGTAAATTCACGTGGACAGCAGAAGCAAATACCGCATTTGAAAGGTTAAAAGAAGCGCTCATCAATGCCCCTGTTTTGAAATTCCCGGAGGGGGACGAAAACCTGGAAATTGCAGCAGATGCGTCGGACTATGCTGTAGGGTGCGGTTCTCATGCAAAATGGCCATCCTTTGGCATTTTTTAGTAAAACGTTGAAACCCTACACAAAGGAATTATACAGC